GCTTTGTCCAGACGACGCTTCTAGAAATTAGCTGGTTTAAATCCAGACCACAGCTCGATTTTAAAAATTAGAATTTGATTTTATCACTTTGGACCTAAGGTTTCTTTAAAGTTGGTCTCAGACTGATATGCTTCCAGACTTTGTCACTGCGCTTGAAAATCTTTTTTTGGCATACAGGAAGATACGAAAGGTAAGAAGGAAAAAAGTATCGCAAATGTCGCAATGATTCTCTGAAATAACACAATATAGGTGTAGCTGGAGCTGGACCTAACAAGTCAGGATACTACATGTCTAAGACACGCCTAATGCATTGTATTCCTCTATTTGTAATGGACAAATGGAAGAACAGACCGAGCCTTATCAACTAACTTTTAGTGGAAGATCTGTTTTTGGTTTTTAAAGTGGTCTTGGAAAGCACTGATTTTTCCTTTTAAGGTTTAATTTATCAGAAATCTGGTATCCATGAGATTGCGGATCAGCGTGTCGCTCGAAAATCTATATAGAGATAATGTTCAAACATCAATACTACAAAAATAACTGGTTTCGTTAAGACCTTTGGATTATCTAAAGTTTGTGGATGACATTATCATCTTATTTAAAGCTGATTTCTTCGATCGTGAGCATATTTTTAAAAAAGTCATGACAACCTTAGATAAGTTCAGAACGATCAGCTATACCAAGGAAAAAAAGAGAACGGTCAAGAGAGCTTCCTGGACGTGTTGGAGAAAACTAAAGGAGCTAAAAATGAAAAGTTTATCGAAAACATCAATATTCTAGCAGATTACACCCAATGTCCTGTGCCCGTAAATGAATTTTTAAGAATATCATAATGAACATTAGATTTAGGTCTCTAAGAGTTTGCATACCAATTTGATTGATATTGAACATCTAAAAAAATTCTTAGAGTACACCGGCCAGAGTAACTTTAAAAAACAGTGATGAAAGACATAATGAAACCAGTTCCGAAGGTTAAAAAGACGCCAAACAGTAAAAAAAACTCTTGTGCTCATTTCATTTATTCATAGACTCTAATAAAATCAAACAGTACCTGGAGGATGGTTTCTGTATTGCTTCAAAAAGAGCGGTTAATGGGGATCGCAAATATACTGGAAACTTCATCAACAGGGAGAACAGTCATGGACGTCGTTTATAAGGTCAATTACAACCAGGAAAACAAAAAGAAAATCTAGCAGCTCTGAGTAATGGAAAAACAGAGCATTCTGCGATCGTCTACCACGTTTTCTACTTGGGACAATCAGAACGAATCTGATGTCCGTTGATTTGAGAGCACAAACATCGGCCTATTGATTAAAAATTCTTTGGCTAACAACAGCCGACTACTTTGCAACGAATGTACAAGCTCGTACAGTTTGAGTTACTACAGCAATGTCATCAACTAGCCTGTACGAAAGAATTATTACAACAAACGTTATCGTAATCAGACAAAACTTAACATTTACAAAACGAAACATCAACAACAAATATTTCTTGTATTTGTTCTGTTTTATATGTAATATGGCTTTGACGAAGACACTAGGATATGGAATCAATTCGCGTTCGTGGGTAAAAAATTACAAATTCCTCCTTAAAGTGTTGCATTGAACCATAGTTCGAGAGACGAGGATCATAAATTGTTATCCAAGCAAAAAACGTCAAGTTGAAACAGTTTCAAAAAGTAGCAACGAATGCAGACACGTAAGTTTTTATCTAGTGGATCAGGTTTCGCCTAATAAATCGCATTTTTATGTTAAACAAATAGAATCTCTAAGAACCATGAACTCCGCCGTTGGCTATCCCAATCCTGGTTGAGAAAGGAGGAGGGTTGGAGACAGTGTCGAAGTCTCCGTAAAGGTTCACCAACTGCCATTCATGGTACTGACCCCATCGAAAATTATACCGGCTCAGTCGTCGCACGGGTAACCAAGCGCTGCGCAGGTTATTGGAGACTGAAGCTGACTGCCAAAAGTCGGCGATCAGAAACTGCTCATTGCCCTATTGCCAGACGGGGGCTTAACAGCACAACGACGGCTAACGAATACCGAGGGAACGACGACGAGTTACCAGTCAGCAACGAAGTCGCTGCCCGTTCTGAACGGAGGAGGCAAACAGCGCCATGCCCGTAGAGCACGTTAAAAAAGGATCCACGAGAACGCCACCGCCAGTGGGAGCCTACAATCGGAAATTGGAACATATTCTCACTTACAGAGAAAGAACAAGAGTTAGTTGATGAGGCCATAAAGTACCGACTCGACATGGTTGGACTCTCGTCAACCAAGCGCCAAGGCTTTGGAATTCTGAACTACTGCGGGTGTAACCTATTCTACTCAGATGTCGATAACACCACGCGAGCTCATCCCCGGTGTTGGTGTTCTGGTAGAACCAAAATTGCTGACAGAATCACGAATGGAAACCCGTCAGCGGAAGGGTGGTAATCCTTCGATTGAAGCTACAACATGCTACAGCGTTGACCTTGGTACAGGTCTATGCGCTCAACTTGGAGATAGAATATGAGATCTTCCTTGAGTAAGTGCAGTGTGCTCTGTCCGAAGTGCCGAATACAGAATCCCTCATAATGGTGGGCGATTTTAATGCGCACGTCGGAGTAGACGCTGAAAAGTGGAAAGCCGTGATTGGGAAAAACAGCCCTAGCGACTTTAACAATAACGGCATGAAGTTGTTGCGGTTTTGTGCAAACAACGGATTGTACATTATGAACACATTCC